ATCTAAAATGCTCTAAAATAAAGCTAAGTTTATCCAACTGGTAACTAAACGTAGTAAAATAGATGCTACAGCTAAAAACTAATCGAAACAGAAATGTAGAATAATAGCTAAAATAAAAAAAAACACAAGCTAAAAGTAGCATTATTATAGCTGAAACTAGAGAAACATCAGCTAATAGTAGCATACAGAGACAAAAATACAGCCAGTAGCTGAAGAGAAGGTTTATAAACYTTTATATTTCTAATAAATAAATAAAATGTGTCTTTAAAGCTGCTGCAGGCTTAAATGAACTCTGCTGGTGTGTTTTGATTTAACAAACCAGCTAAAACAGATTTCTTGTTGAGCAACCAGATAATCCAACTTTACTGGAAACAGTGGTGGTTTCGACTAAACAAAGCGTTACGTGGCTCACGGCGCTCAGACAGGAAGTAAACGTTTTGTTTTGTTTTTATTTTCCTCTGCTCTCCAGTTGACCAAGATGTCCGCTACACGGCCGTCAGCAGCTTCATCTTCCTGCGTTTCTTCGCTCCGGCCATCCTCTCCCCCAACCTGTTCCAGCTGCGACCACACCACCCGGATCCCTCCACCTCGCGGACCCTCACCCTCATCTCCAAGACCATCCAGACGCTCGGAAGTCTGGCCAAGTCCAAATCTGTGCGTCTCTCTGCTCGTTTATCTGGTTCCACCTCTCCTAAATGAGTTTTCTGGGTTTTAAATCCTGCTTTTTTTTTATTTTAAGGCCAATTTCAAAGAGTCCTACATGGCCGCGTTTTACGACTACTTCAACGAGCAGAAATACGCAGACGCTGTGAAGAACGTGAGTTTGTTTGTTTTTTCCGCCGATATTTAAAGTAGTGTGTAGCTCTAGTAGATTGTAGACTTCGAGGTGGGGTCTTAGAAAGATTTTCAGACTTAAATACAAATAAAAATGACTACTAACAGTTATTATTTTGTCTTAAATAAAGTGCCTGTGACGTGCTTATCCTTCAGATACAAAAAGTCAAAGAAAAATTTGTTCTATTTAAGAAGCTTGGCACACCACACACTATTTTACACATTTGGAYGCATAACTGACCTATTTTCCTTTGAAATTGGCTCGGCAAAAAGGAAACGGGAAGTGACATCAAAGGGGAACTCCTTTCAGAAAAATAACTCACTGGTCTTTGTTTATTAAAACATGATTTGAACTCTGACTTTTTTTTGTTTCTTTCTGATAGCATCTCAAAATAATCTAAATCAGATTTCTCTCCACAATCTAGGCTGTTGAGCATTTTAGCTTTAGCAGACATTCCCCTTTGACATCACTTCCTGTTACTTCACATGCAAATATCTCAACAACTGTTCATCTCAGCAGCGTGAAATTTGTTTTTGCAATTTATCGCTAATGTTATATTTCTAAAAACACATTCATAT